GGTACATATTTTATTACGAATAATTAATATTTGGCCTCTAAAGGCACATTTCCTGTCTTCTTCAAAAAAATAACAGGCACCTCAAATATGTTGATGATAGATTAAAAAAACTATCATAATATTATTATCTGATCAGTGTGCGCTTTACCCCATAAGTCATATTTAAAGCGCGTGGCGAACAGCAAAAAGAGCAAAGCAGAAAAACCACGACTAGCTCGCCTCACTCGTCGTATTGAATGACAGAGAATGCAAACCGCATCCCCACTACACACATTTTTATTCTCGGCCGATCGATTATCTAACAATTGAAAATATTGTTCCTAGTGCTTTGAGGGGACTGGCGTTTTCTGTTCTGATCTTCTAATATAATTGAATCAAAATCAATTAGGCCTACCCGAATTTATGAAATATGAAAGACCATTCACTCACCGAACGAAGGCAAAGTACATAGTCCCGATGATGGACACCGCTAGCAGGGTGATGGTGTGGGGCTTGTAGAAGAAATCCAGTGAAATATCATCCACAGGCCGCTCGTTTATGAACTTGAATTCATTCATTGTCGTCATGTTATGGCCAGTGCGCGCTGGAGAGTTTTCCAGCGTCGAAGGCGGAGACGTCCGCTTCTTCATCCTACGTTTTAGTACGATGACACCGTATGGAAAATTGTGAGATTCAAGCACTTCCAGCTGTCGGTCGGCCAGAATTTTTGTCGATAATTTCAGTAAAGTGCCCCGTGCGTGGGCACTAATTGCTATAGGGAACCACTACCGTTCTCCAAGAAAAAAGCTACTGATTCATGAAGCACCAACTATTGTGATAAGGCGGAACATCCAGAGCTTTAGGTACTGGTACTTATCACTAAGGGGTTTCTTCTCTAATCACTAAACCAATCAAGCAAACTGTAACATCACGCCACTTTCACGATTACCAGTTTCATCACAAGCTGTATCGATGTTCGAGGCGGGCAAGAAAAATCGATGTTTCTAGCACTAATTTTACACCACGACTGTGCGAACATTGATTATTATTCTTCACAGAAAATCAGCAAAACTAACAAGAAAAGCGGCGTGATCTGCCGAAGAACCGCACTCGTGTGAAAACACTTTGACAGTTTGATAAAAGAACCTTACAAAGTGAACGAAAAAAATACATACACAGAGAAAAAAATTACCCTAAATTAAGTTCTTTTTACTTAATTTTGGGTAATTTTGAGTTTGGCATCCCACTCTCTTTTTGTTGTTGTCAAGAACCAGCCCAGTGGCAGGCGCGTACACGGTAAGAAAAAAGTACCCAACGGCCAGTTCACTTTTACCTACTTTTGACTAGTTTGCCTCCTTTTCTCCTTCTAATGTTGTCAAAAACGGAGGAGCAAAACCACCCAACAAGGGTAGTAAAGTGTAGGAACCCAACGTTGAGTATAATCATATTTACCTACTGTTGGGTACAACTAACTTACTTTTGGTTAAAAAGCCAGTGGAAAATTCCATACGAACTGCACACAAGTAAATGAAAATTACTTTGACCCGCTTTACCTACTTTTGGGTTCCTGCACTGTAGTGCCGAGATGAGTGAAAAGAACTTAATTTTGGGTACTTTTTTCTAACCGTGTAGGCAACATGTTATACAGTGACAGCGGGCCCAGCACAGCAAAACAAATGATTTGAGCCCGGGACATGCTGCCTGCTGTCAAACGCTGCTGTTGGTATAGGCCTTGTCACTGGCCTGTCAAGAAGAGAACGAGAGATTTGACTTTCCCATGACTATCGTTCAATAAGCTACTATAGTGAGTTTATGAGATATGTTCAAATTTGAGTAAATTGAACTTAATTTTGGGTAGAAAATACACACGAGTAAGTTATTATTTTTGCCGTAGCCAAATGTAAACTATTATAAGCGGTTTACTGAAAATTAGCTTATTGAACGGAACATGGGAGATGAGTGAAAAGAACTTAATTTTGGGTAATTTTTCAGTTCCGTGTACACTCAAAAATATTACAAAACGTATATAGATTAAATTTTATGCATTTTATGGTTTTTCAAAATTTATACATTGGTTCGATCGGTTCGATTACAATTTTCGTTAAAATTATATTTAAACATTGGCCGGAACAAACCACTATAACCTCCGTCACATAATCGCAGTACTTTTCTAAGTATTTTAAATGCGATTGTTGTGATTATCACGAAGGAAACCACTGATTCCTTTAGCAAACTTCTGAAGAAGTTGATACAAAGCTGAAATTTTATTTATTTCTTAGTTTTATAAACCTATCATATTGATAAAAACTTACATTTTCAATGTCCTTATTACTAGCTCTGAAATCACAATGAATTCTATGTTTATACACGAAACGAAAATCAATTATTTTATTCATGTGTTTCACTTATACATTTTTGCCAAACATCAGCCTTATACATTCCATAAGACAAACCATATAGGTCCTATAAGAATGCATAAAAGGTATGTGTGACCGCTTATACATTTCATTTGACACATGATCTTCATAAACTTTTTGCAAGGCGTCTGCTCATTAGTTGACTTATACATTTTATGAATAATCAGCAATAGAAATTTGCCAAAAGGTATAAGGAGATTTCTATCCGTGTACATCGAACAATAGACATTGAGGTAAAATAATGCAAATCTACCGCACTGCAAAAACCATTGCACTCAAAACTGACACAACAGCGATTTTTTACCGATTTGCACGCAATATAAAAATGATTGCACATTCTGTCCTGCGCTTCCAGTTCTTTAGAGATGTCTCGAAGAATTGAATTGAAGACATGTATTTAACAATTTTAAGAGTAGAATATATTTTCAAAAATGGGGAAAAAGTACCTGCTTTTAATTTTTGGATAATATAGATTGCTGACGTTTATCGTACGCACACTACGTCGCGTATTCGCGAGCGTATACGTATACGCAAAATGTTTTCATCGGGGAAAAAAATTTCATAGCGGAAAATTTTCCCGATAAAAACAAATCACTGACACATACTTCAGCAATTTATATACCCATTTTTGACAGTTAACTTAAAAATATGAGTACAAGAAACCCATTTAATGGGTACTTTTGAGTTAGTGTGTAGAGGGCTTCCAACAATCCACTTTTTTGCGTTACATGATATTTTAACTGGCTCTAATGGTAAGCATCTAATGTCAAATGGGGGTTATTCAGATTTTATAGCGGGCTAGCGTAAAAAGTTGGATTGTTCTGTCCAGCAAACCCAAATCTGGGTAAAACGCTGTCCAGACTGGAGAGTTATAACATGTTATAACGGTTGTCAACTAATTGCAACACAGAAACCACCATCAAGATAGCGCTATAACATGTTATAACTCTGTAGTCTGAACGTACTATAAAACGCTGTCCAGACTGGAGAGTTATAACATGTTATAACGGTTGTCAAATAATTGCAACACAGAAACCACCATCAAGATAGCACTATAATATGTTATAACTCTGTAGTCTCAACGTACTATACGTTCAGACTACAGAGTTATAACATGTTATAGCGCTATCTTGATGGTGGTTTCTGTGTTGCAATTATTTGACAACCGTTATAACATGTTATAACAGTTATAACATGTAATAACGGTTGTCAAATAATTGCAACACAGAAAGTTACTCTCCAGTCTGGACAGCGTTTAAGTTGATATCCTAAATTAGGGTTTTTTGTTCTTGCGTGTACTTGTCGCGAATATGATGTAAGTGTTCGACATTTATACGGTTTCCCATATTGTACCACCTCTATGTATGTCAGTTGCCTCGAATAAAGCCGGTTTTCAATTTTCGTAACGTCATACAATTTTTTAATCAAAACAAAAAAAAATCACAAACGAAGCTTTTATCGATGGTGGTTATTGACGTGGTGGATACGTGTTTTTTTATCAGACTCTTAATTTATTTCCAGTGGATTTAAGAAGCGGTAATTTTGTTTTGTCAAATCTTCTTCTTGAAACGCGTGTGAATAATATCTGTTTGAAATTGAATTATACCATCATGGCTTTACTGGATTCTCTACGCCGGTTTGACGCGTACCCAAAAATTGATAAGGAGTTCAGCATTAGAACTGTTGGTGGGGCTACATGTAAGTGATTAATATTAAAATTCAGAATATTCTCAAGTAGAGAAATCAATCGTTTTCTACTTACAGTAACATTTATTAGCGGAACGATTATCATTGTTCTTATTTATTCGGAGCTTATATCCTACTTAACGCCAGTCGTTACCGATGAGCTTTTCGTGGACTCAACACGGGGGCAAAAACTGAAAATTAATTTGGATTTTTACATTCCTCGAATCTCATGCGATTGTAAGTTACACTGTGACAAACGTAAGCAATTTAAGAATTAAAAATTAATTCCATTTTTTATTAGATGTATCCCTAGATGCTCAAGATGCTACCGGCGAACAGCACCTACATATTGAGCATACAATTTATAAAAGAAGGATGGATCTTCAGGGAAATCCAATAGAAGAGCCAAAAAAAGAAGATATACAAGCGCCCAAACCACGCATCGAAACCACCGAAACTCCATCTACGGATGATAAATGTGGCTCATGCTATGGAGCTCAAAAGAACAGTTCCCAGTAAGTATTGAGTTATGTTTTTTTTTCATAACCCCTTGTGTAAATCATTCGTCTGGTTTCACAACAGTTGCTGTAATACTTGCCAAGACGTAATCGATGCCTACCGAGACAAGCAATGGAATCCTACATTGGAAGATTTCAAACAATGTCAGAATGATGTTATGATTGGTAAAAAGAGTCTCGAATCCAAAGCATTTAGCGAGGGATGTCAGGTCTATGGGTCAATGCAGGTGAACCGAGTGGGTGGAAGCTTCCACATTGCGCCGGGAAAAAGTTTCTCTATTAGTCACATTCACGTACATGACGTACAACCTTTCTCTTCAAGTCGGTTTAATACGTCCCATCGAATTAATACACTGTCGTTTGGAGAGGAGTTCGGCTACGGACAAACTAGACCATTGGATTTCACGGAGGAAACTGCCCACGAAGGTGAGTAGAACATTGTTTTATTGCTGTTGACATGCTCCTTTCCTTTGGTTGTTGGTTTATAATTGGTTTCGTTAACATATTATTTAAAGTAATTTAACATCTAATTCCGGTTCCAATTGCCATGAAGGTGCCGAATGTGCCGCCACCTTGGATCATGGTTTTGCCGACGTTGTTGATCAACTCACGCCCTCGTAGTCCGTATCTGTAAAAGAATTAAGTTATTCGACACATTATCCTATGGTATTAACGTGCATTATAGATGCAACATAATGCATATCCAGCGTTAACATGCTTGAATATAAAGTAACTAATGTAGGTTTGTTACCTATTTAGATTTTTTTTTTCAAGTTTGAAACAATAGGTAAAGCACAATGCAATTTTAGCAATTTGCATATTAAGAATACTTATTAGAAACTAAGTTGTATACCTCAAAGCAGAAAATCCACCAAACAATGCACCGCTGGCCATTCCTACGCAGAAACCGATGGTAAATCCTGTTTTCATCCGATCGAAACAGGACGGCTGTTGGTTCTGTCCATACATGCTTCCCGGAACAGCTGGCATTTTTGCAACGATGTGAGATTGAAGTGACTGATCTACAGACACGATTTTTAATGATTTTAAATGCTTAATACAGGAATTTTCTAGGTGCAACGCAGGAAAGCAATAGTTCTGATGTGTGATCGCATTAAATCACGTAATCTTGTGAGTAAAGTTTGACTGAATTTTGACAGTGACAATTTTTTGACAAGAGTTAATCACCCGCCTCGCCGAAGCGTTATAATATATTATATATAGCGTTTATGGCACATCAGGAATATTAGAGATGCGAACAGCTATACAATTCCGCGAGCACTGCACTGGGCAAAATAGGCAAAATATCAACCCTTACACGGCCGATGAGAGTAACTCAGTAAGTCGAATTTAACTCAAAATTGCGCAAAAAGTGCACTTAGGCAAAAGAACTTAGCCACAAGAAATCGGCATGAATTCCATTGGTTTGATTTATGAAAAACAATGTTGACAAAATAAATAATTAAACGGAGCAGACTGGAGCCGAACCATGAACGTTGAGACTACGAAGCACTTTTGTTCCCTCAATAGTTTTCGGATATGCAAATAACACGGGGGCAACAATCAAGCATTTCGTCATTGCTCACATCAATGTGATGATTATAGGGGTTAGGATGACTGCAACAGACTCTCGAACAGACTACTCTTTCTAGCATTCAGCACTGCGATGCAAGTGTGAAAGAGTAAGCTGTTTTGTTCTGTCGTACTTCCGTCAGTTTTACCGCTGTCAGTATGTCCAAAAGTGTCAGATTGGCATCAACGAGAGTACAATTTTTAGGAAAAATTCCAAGGGGTGCGTGGAAAATGCAATTCATATGTCGATATGACATTTCGGCGATTGTGACTAACATTAAGACTTATGTCTTTCGGGTTTTTGTGACATTCGGGCGCATGTTATAGAAGAGCAGTTCCAGGCAAAATAGCGAAACAAAAATTAATTTTTGGATCGATCTACTCTGATTTGTATTGCGTAATTGTTTGTTATGGGAAATTATTCACATTTTTGCTAAAATTCGGCCATTTTGGAGCTTGTGAATTTTTAAAAATTACGTACATGAAATTAAAAATATGTATATAACACGGAAACGACATTTCTGACCGAAATGACGTCTAAGACAAAGGTCTAGAGAAAAATTATTTCATGTAAAAATAAACAAAAAATGTTTTATTATACGTAACATTTGATAACGGCAATGAAAAATGTATCGGTTTTTGATGACGATGTATTCATCTGAAAGAGCTTTGTTTTCTGAGCACAACCATATTTTTTTTTCGATCTGTCTATGTCAAATCAAGATAACTAACTAATTAAGCTGTTTGATACTAAACGAACATTTGATAACGGCACAAAAGCTTTTGTAAACAAACTTTGTAAGGCCCTTTGCACACGAACCAAAGGACGCCCACGCAGGGCATCTGATCGTTCCTTTATTCTAGCGAACGGCAGCAGCAGTATGAATTCAATTTCACCACTCCCTTATGTGCGGTAATTTGTATACCATCCAATACCCCCACACTACGCTTTGCATTCATACATACCGATGCACAGTAAAGCGAATAGATACCAAAAAGCATTCCCACTTTCTCTTCTTCAAAATCCTCTCCCGTACAGTCGCTCCCTTTCGCTCTGGTTTCATTCCCATTTTGATTTCATTCAGGTTCCTTTTTGACGTAGGACTACGTCTTTAATTTCTATACTGGGGGACACATTAAAAAATCAAAATTCAGGCATGTAACGAAAAATCCCAAACACGGACGCAACGATAGAGCGCAAATCGATAAAACGACACATTGCGCATGCTCACATGAGCGAGCTCAATGCTCGGTTGATCGACCAATCAAAGGAAGGGAGGAGAAAAGGAGTGGTAATAAAAACGCTTGCCAAAACGTTTTCTTCGTCATGTGCTTTCGAGCACCGGACAGATAAGCGTCGGACACGACGTTTGAGTGGAACACAGGGTGTCGACTACCTGTAATCTTCAAGTAGATTATGCGTCTGCTCGATCCAGCTGTGTCCAACAAAAATCAATCCCTTGAGCGCATTGCATTGGAGTGCCTTTGAGTAAATGCAAGAACGATTAAGAGTTAAGCTGGGTTTAGATAATTCAGTTGAATTCAATTGGCTTGAAGAGTTGAGCCTAGATCACATTTTTTTTCAATTATTCGAGTCAGTTAAATGGCATAGTATGAATTCAACTGAGTTGATCAATTGAAACCCAGCTTTAAGAGAAGATAATGATTTTGGCTGAATACATCTAGTTCTTGTTCTTAATTGTGTTCTTAACAGCTTGATTAGCTCAGAGAACTAACTAAATGAGAATCCAGGATATTGGTCTTGCTTTTGAGTTTTTTTTTCTTGGAGTAGCACTTTTATGATTGAATAATGATTCAAAGATACGTAGACAAGCATTGCTTGGACAGCATAGAGGGGCTGTAGTAAGTATTCTAGGTCTTCATTGTTAACCTGGTTAGCTCGTAAAATTAGTTCACAGTAAAGTTTTAGTATGGTAATGTTGCTGCTATTGCAATTTAGATGGAATTAACTAACAGAACTTTGGAGATGAAAGCGTTGTGTTTACTTTATCCCACCGGAAGAATCCGCCCGTGAATTATCTTTTGGAATATTATCCGGAATAATTTTCTTACGGAGCTGGGTCTCAAAATGTGCTCAAAGCAAATAAAATATAATGGGATTAAAAACAAGTGTTTCATACGTGAAACGCAGAGTGACCAGTGAACCGGGAAACCGGAAAAATCTGGAATTTGAAGTCACCGGGAAAATCCCATGAATTTAATTGACAAATCTGAAAAAAATACCTCGTCCTCTCTTGGAAAAAAAATATGATTTCAAGACCCTTGAGCTGGTCTAGATTTTCAGGATAACTACAGCCACTTTGAAGAACAATTAAGAGAATTTAAGTTTTTGCCAAAGCAAATTTGAGCTGATTCTAGAATGAATTCTAGAGATAACACCAAGGTATTTCAGAGAATATGTTCTAGGTAGCTTTAGGAAAATCTCTAGGAGGGTTTTTACTAGATCTCCCAAGAGTGAAGAGGATGTCAGGAATCTTGAAAAATATCAAGGAACGCGAATTTTGAATTCCAAAATAATTATGCGAAGATCTATAAGGATAGTCGGAGTATAATTCCAAGCGCATTTCGAAAGGAATTTCTAGAGCATATTAATGAGAATTCCATGCAATGTTCAGAAGAATTTAGAGGAGCATTGCAAGATAATTCTGAGCAAAATTTGAAAATAATTCTCGGCGGGAGAATTTCCCCTGCCAGATGGTGTTGGCAGGGAAGGGGGATTACAAGTTTTGCTCACAAAAGCTAATAGTCCCTTTTCAATTGTTGGTCTGAGGTGAATTTCATGCGAATTTAAAAATGAAGCTCCAGTGAATTCTTAGAAAGAGTTTAAAATTAGAAGGAAGGATGAATTTTAAGAATTTTTTGGAGTGTTCTACAGAGAATTTCTGTACTATCATAAAAACAATTTCAAGGGATTTCCAGATAGAATTTCGAATTTATTTTAGAAGGATTCTTGCGAGATCTCTGTGAAAGGAAATTAATGTAAAGGAAAGACATGAGAACAATCAAATAAAAGCTTGTAAAGTTTTGAGCGAAATTTTCGTACACAAATTGTGAAAACTTCGAACCTGTCGCAGATCCAAATTCAAGATCCAGCAAAGGTGCTGCTGTCTTAGAAGCTACCCATTTAACCTTCGGCTTCGTTGCTTTTAGTTTTGTGCATAGTTAAAATACATAAGCCGCGATAATTTTCAAAATTCTGGAAGAAAAACGGGAAAATTGCTAATCGAGATTTGCTGGTCACCATGAAGATGATTTGGATGAATTTATGCCCCTTGGGTAGAATGCGGATCCAACTCGTTTTTGGCAACATGAGATTTCTGTCGTTTTTGCAATCTATAAAATGTATGGAACGCTTTATTTAATTTGGAATTGTACTGGACCACTCTTCGTGGGTTAGAGGTCCGTGTGGTATTTTTGAAAAAATGTACATAAATGTACCAATATATTTTGAGGAAAGTTATAGCTGATGGGGTTGTGTTGCCACTGCACCTCGAATTTTTTGAAAATTACTGGAAAATCAGGGAATATCAAGGAATTTTGTTTTCTTCGTTTAGTCGACACCCTGGGAACGGCACGCATCGCACCAATACGAAGACGACGATGACTACGAAAGCACCCACATCGACCGGAGGAAAGGCTTCCCGCAATAGGAAGCATGACTAGGCCGCCGTCATCCAGTCGGCATCGACTTGCACTGGTGTGGCCACCAATTCAAAACGGAAAGAGTTATTAACTAAATGATCAACATATTTGTTCCGTCCACTAGCGGTCCTACGTCAAGCTTCCGTTCGTGCCCCTAGGCACAGACCCTTCTACTTTTTCGTTTTGGGTTGGGAATGTCCGAAAAAAAAGTCAATGAACGGCATTCATCGAGCAAAGTGGTTGGTGTGTTAGATGCTAAAAAATAATATGTTGGTTTGAAAGAACAATGTTTGGTTTTTGAATAACAACATTCAAGAATCAATATGATTTTTGTTTATCAGAATGAGAGTATTTGAATGAATCTATAGTGCCTTTTCATATAGGATTGTTTAATAAATTTTATTTTTATTAAATTGTCAACCTATTAACTTCTACCTTTTAGAAATTCATCATAAATACATTCGCACGGGTTTCAGACCTTGCACTGGACAGTTTTTTAGCGGACATGTTTGGAGGCTGTCTAGCAGGTTCAAGCAGAGACCCGAAATGTATCCCAAACAAAACGCTTCCAGAACAGTTAAGTGTGTTTTGGATTGCGACAACCACACCATGTCAATGTTTGGGAGTACTGGGTACAGAAGAAAATCATGCAAAAGGATCTCTTTGAAGCAGCTGCTGTAATTTAGGCCGTTCCATCGATGCAAGTTTCAGTGGAACGTGCTTTCAGTGCTCTGGCGTTAACGATTTTAGATCAGCGCACATCCTTGGGTGAAAACACCCTAGAAGATTTGCTCACTATCAAAATAAACCAACCAACTTAAATAATAGAAGTAATGGAATGGTGATGATTTAATGAACTTCAAGGCAACGTGCAATCATTTTTTAACATGCA